CCGGGGCGAAACTCCGCTGCCGCGCCAATAAGTGCGTGGCGGGATGAGCTCCGGCGCGATCTCATGGCGGAATGGCAGCAACGACTGTCGCAACCGGGGGCTGGGCTCGCTGCCATTGCAGCGGTAAGTCCCCTCTTTGAGGAGTGGCTTGAGAGACGCTACGGCGTCCTCACCTACCGCCTGACGCAGGTCCTCACCGGACATGGAAGTTTCGGGAGGTACCTGTGTCTGATGGGGCGGGAGGAAACGCCCGGGTGTCATCACTGCGAGGACCGCCCTGAGGACACGGTGGAACACACAGTGGGAGAATGCCCTGCGTGGGCTGAGCACCGCCGTGCCCTCAGGGAAGTGATCGGCGATGGCGACCTCTCGCGTCGGGCCTAGTGCAGGCCATGATGCGGAGCGAGGGGGATTGGGATGCCGTCTCCTCCTTTTGCGAAGCAGTCATGCTAGCTAAGGAGGAGGCGGGACGCGTGAGGCAGCGAAGCGCTGCCTCCTCGCAACCCAGCCATCGCGAAGGACACACCGGGCGTCGGGGATCGCGAGACGATCTCCGGCCACCGTAAGCGCGGGCCTGCGGACGGCGAGCATGGGTGGCTCCCCGTCCGACCAGAAACAGACCCGAGCGTACGGCGCGTCGCGTTCCGCGCGCGCCTCAAAGAGCCATCAGACCACCACAGATGGGGCCCAATAGGGCCGATGCCGATTCGGAGTCGCGGAGAACCTAACGGGTAACCGGGGCTCCGGCTCGACGTGCAGGAGAAGGAACGGGGTGGTTTTTAGTCAGTAAGAGTCTGACACTCCCTTCCGCCTCACCCAGGCGGGAGCAGTCATTCGACGATTTTCCCCCCGTAAAAAAAAAAAAAAAAAACCCTATAATGCATGAATATTACTAACAAGTCGGGTTAACATTTGGGCTACAAATTATAACGTTATCACCGACGGGGGAGGAGCAGTGAATACTATTCTACGCAGGCAAAGTCGCGGGCAAAGCTAGTATTTATAGATATAAATAATATATTAATAAGTAGATAAACGCAACTACTGCTGACTCATATTGACCCATGATATCAACAAACCGTAACATCACGCGCAGTTTTTATGGGTATTAAGTACACGTGGTAACTATCCTTACTTATATTATAAATCGGAAAGTGAGTTTGTTTGTTTGTTCCACTTTCACGCCGTAACTACTAAACCGGTTGCTTTGAATTTTTGCAGACGTGAAGTTAGAAGTCTCGATTAAATAATAGGGTACTTTTTAACCCGGAAAAATTTGATATTTTTTTGTTTTGAGAAAACAAAATTATTGGTATAGATGGCGCTGTGTGTATTGGTATATGTCACATAGGCTACTGTTTATCCTTTTGTGACGCGAGCGAAGTCGCGGGTAAAAGCTAGTTGAGTAATAAACCTTAAAGATAACTAACAGTTGCCCGCGACTTTGTCCGCGTAGAATGTGACTGCCGGGCAAGTGGTCTCGGGTTCGATTCCCGGGTCGGGCAAAGTATTACTGGGTTTTTTAAAATCTCAGTAGTAGCACGGAGTCTGGAAATGTGCCCGGTATATGGCAATAGGCTCACCCCCTATTACATGGGACTCTTAACATAAATAGTGAAAATTGGGTGTTACATTGTACAGTGGCATTAAGTGCCGTAATGTGCACCTCTGCCTACCCCTTCGGGGATAAAAGGCGTGATGTTATGTTATGTTAGTTTCAGCGTTATTGACGGACAAACATCCATCATCATCCATTTCACATTTATAATATTAGTGTGATTAAGTGACTGCTTTTAAATTAAAAGAAAGGATGTGAACACCTTTAGGGAACAATTATTTTTGATGAGATAAGCCGGTAAACCGGTAAACGAGTAGACGGATCACCTTCTGGCAAGCAATCGGCGTCGCCCATGGGCTCCCGAAACACCAGAGGTTGTTACAATTGCGTTACCGGACTTTCAGTGATTGGGGACGGGCAGAAGGGGGGGCAATTGGGCCTCCGCTAACCTGTCTCACACGACGAAACAGCACAAGCGTTGTTTCACGTCAGTTTTCTGCTCGGCCGCGGTATCACTACGGACAAAAGGCCCATTCCTGCCGAAGCATGGCGAGTCCACACTAGCCAAACACACTTAATTAATCATTTCATTTCATTTCACATTACGGCACTTAATGCCACTGTACAATGTAACACCCACTTTTCACTATCTATGTTATGAATCCCATGTAATAGGGGTGAGCTAAATGGTAACAGGTTCATAATGGTTTTAATGATAAGTAATTGGATAGTAAATTTTCATAACATAACATAACATCACGCCTTTTATCCCCGAAGGCTAGGCAGAGGTGCACATTATACGACTGTACAATGTAACACCCACTTTTCACTATTTATGTTATGAATCCCATGTAATAGGGGGTGAGCCTATTGCCATATACCGGGCACAGTTCCAGAATCCGTGCTACTAGTGAGTTTTTTTTAAAACCTAGTAATACTTTTTAATCTAACCCGAGACCCCTTGCCTTGCAACCACTCGGGCAATGGGTTTTTTTTTTTAAGGGGGGAAAATCATCGAATGACTGCTCCCGCCTGGGTGAGGCGGAAGGGAGTGTCAGACTCTTACTGACTAAAAACCACCCCGTTCCTTCTCCTGCACGTCGAGCCGGAGCCCCGGTTACCCGTTAGGTTCTCCGCGACTCCGAATCGGCATCGGCCCTATTGGGCCCCATCTGTGGTGGTCTGATGGCTCTTTGAGGCGCGCGCGGAACGCGACGCGCCGTACGCTCGGGTCTGTTTCTGGTCGGACGGGGAGCCACCCATGCTCGCCGTCCGCAGGCCCGCGCTTACGGTGGCCGGAGATCGTCCCGCGATCCACGATGCCCGGTGTGTCCTTCGCGATGGCTGGGTTGCGAGGAGGCAGCGCTTCGCTGCCTCACGCGTCCCGCCTCCTCCTTAGCTAGCATGACTGCTTCGCAAAAGGAGGAGACGGCATCCCAGTCCCCCTCGCTCCGCATCATGGCCTGCACTAGGCCCGGACGCGAGAGGTCGCCATCGCCGATCACTTCCCTGAGGGCACGGCGGTGCTCACCCACGCAGGGCATTCCGCTACGGTGTGTTCCACCGTGTCCTCAGGGCGGTCCTCGCAGTGATGACACCGGGCGTTTCCTCCCGCCCCATCAGACACAGGTACCTCCCGAAACTTCCATGTCCGGTGAGGACCTGCGTCAGGCGGTAGGTGAGGACGCCGTAGCGTCTCTCAAGCCACTCCTCAAAGAGGGGTCTTACCGCTGCAATGGCAGCGAGCCCAGCCCTCGGTTGCGACAGTCGTTGCTGCCATTCCGCCATGAGATCGCGCCGGAGCTCATCCCGCCACGCACTTATCTGGCGCGGCAGAGGAGTTTCGCCCCGGCGACGTGCCTCCGCGCGCATGCGATACACGCGCGCGAGCACCTTCGCCTCCAGATCCCACGGCGGTGATCCGGCAAGGAGGTTCGCCGACTCCCCGGAGATCGTGCGGTATCCGCGGATCATTCGGATCGCCATGACCCTCTGTGACATGAGCAGCGTCCGAGCAGGACGCCGCAACAAGTTCGGCGCCCAAACAGGGGCGCCGTAGAGGGCCATGGACCGCACGACCCCGGCGTATAACCTCCGGCAGGAGGCGTTTGGCCCCCCGAGGTTGGGGAGGATGCGCTTAAACGCAGCCCCCGCCCTCGCCAACTTTGGAGCCAAACGTCGGAAGTGCTCCACGAAGTTCCACCGACTGTCGAGGACGAGTCCCAGGTACTTCACCGTCGTCTCGACGCCGATGGTAACCCCTCCCGCCATTATTTGGGACCCACCCGGAGGTGGCGCGTTCCCGCGGCCATGAAAACACATGGCCTCGGACTTGTGGAGCGCCACCTCGAGTCCCAACTGCCGGATTTTTTCAACGACTGTCGCAACCGCTGTCGCCATTAAGTCGGCCGCCGCCTGGAGCGACCTTCCGTGCGCTAGCACCAGCGTGTCGTCGGCGTAACATATTGTGCTAACGCCGTTCGGGAGGTCGGGCAGTGGGGTAGCCTTCAGGAGAAAAACTGAATAATAAAAAAAAAATGTACTGCCTCGTTGGCCGAGTGGTCGTAAGTGCGACTACCGGGCAAGGGATCTCGGGTTCGATACCCGGGTCGGGCAAAGTATTACTTGGTTTAAAAATTCTCAATAGTAGTACGGAGTCTGAAATTGTGCCCGGTATATGGCAATAGGCTCACCGCCTATTATATGGGACTCATAAGTCATAACATAAATAGTGAAATGTGGGTGTTACATTGTACAGTGGTATAATGTGCACCTCTGCCTACTCCTTCGGGGATAAAAGGCGTGATGTTATGTTATGTTATCAAAATGTACTATCCAATTACTTATAGATAAAAACATTCATGAACCTGTAACCATTTAGCTTACAAAAGATGAGCAAATATTGAAAACTAAACAAATTCAGTACATCCATCTATACAAAACCAGCGTATCATGGACTCGTTTTGTATCACCTTTCCGTACATTTGCAGGTCAGATTATACTGGAACTGCATAGCTTTTGTAGCTAATACTTAACCAGTTGGTCATGATCTCTCTATGTTTGATCTTTCTGCGCACTCAAAGGTCAGATTATACTGGTTATATATAGCTTCATGTTGCTAATAGTTAACCAGTTGGTCATGATCTCTCTATGTTTGATCTTCCTGCGCACTTAAAGGTCAGATTATACTGGTTTTGTATAGCTTTATGTAGCTAAACCAACCAGTTACAATGGTCCCGCTTTTTATACTCTTTCTTAACATTCAAATGTCAATTTATACTGGTTTTGTATAGTTTGATGTGAACATTAATAAATATATAAAAAGCTTTGTCTTAATATCGCCTACACGATGTCTAAGTAAATACATTGTCATATAAAATGAGGAGACGATGTATTGAAACTCATTCGATTCCCAGCTTCGGTAGCAAGACTGTTCAGTAAAAAAAATGTTCAAAATGTTGGCTGTTTTGTGTTTAATATGTGTTGGTAAGTTTTATTTTTATACTAGCTTTTGCCTGCGACTTCGTACGCGCAATCCCGATATTTCCCGTTCCCGTTCTTGACTTTCGGTAAAAAGTAAAAAAAAAGAATTGGGTAAAAAGTATCCTATGTCCGTCTCCTGGTTCTAAGCTACCTCCCCACCAATTTTCATCCAAATCGATTTAGCCATTCTTGAGTTATAAATATTGTAACTAACACGACTTTCTTTTATATATACATATATACCTCTAGATTTCTAACGCTACCCGCCCCGGCTACGCACGGGTGCAATATATATGCACGTATTATACATATAAACCTTCATTAAGAACCACTCTATCTATTAAAAAAACCGCATCAAAATCCGTTGCGTAGTTTTAAAGATCTAAGCATACATAGGGACAGATAGACGGCGGATAGTGACTTTGTTTTATACTATGTAGTGATTTTTTATCATTTTCATAGATCCGTTTTGTCACTTATAATCTGCATAGGTGCAGAGTTCTAATCAATGCAAATTAATCAAGCACAAACACAAGGTAGTTAATATAAACCGCTGAGGAGTTCTCTCGACTGTCTGTCGGCTCCATCATCAGGTCGACTCCAGACCTATATCAAATTGTAGTGTTTAAAAATCCTAATTGAAAAACATAATAGACGCATTACTCGCCCGTTCTATTTTCTAAAGTTCCCCTCGGTTTCCCTAGGATCACACCATAAAAAAACACAATCAGCCGAACATACCACCTCCTCCTTTTTTTGAAGTCGGTAAAAAGTAAAGAGGCGTTTCTTGCTCGTTCTTTTACATTCGGAACTACACTTTGGAACGAGCGCCTAGCTTCAGTGAAGGTCAGCGCCCTCTGTGGACACACTAGAGGAGTTCCAATTGCTATGCTGACCTATTAGGAAAATGGAGATTGGGCCTCTCATAAACTCACTCACTCTGCTTCTGAAAACGCAATCGTTGTTTCACGCAGGTGTCCTATGACGCCGTGGTATCACTTCGGTCGAGCCGGGCCATTGGTAACGAAGCAAGCTCTCCCACACTTAAAAACTTTTATATAGAACAATGCCATCTATCGAGCTATGATACAAAGGATAACACAAATTAATTCTATAACATTTGTACGACGATATAATCTATTTGTGTATTGTTTAGTATACTTTAATTTAGTTTAATTACTTACAACTATCATTATTGCTGTTACACTTTATACCACATATGTAAAATTTTAATATGTAACTGTTTTTTTGCCCCTTAATAAATAAATAAAATATTAGAGTACTTGAACTGTGGACCACTTCTCAAAACAGGAGTAGGAACGGGATGGTGTTTAGTCATTAAGAGTATGACACTCCCTCTCGGCTCCCCCAAGGTGGGAGAAGTCATTAGCTGATTTTCCCCCCTCAGAAACAATATATTAAGTTCTTTAATTATGGTATTTCATCTTCCAGTGAGCGGTGTGTGGTCGTCGTGCGACTCGTGCGGGCGCGAGTGCAGCGCGTCGTGCGGCACGCGCCGCTTCCGCGCGTGCTGCTTCAACTATCTGCGCCGGAAGAGGGCGCCATATACCGCACAGGTAAATATTTCAATTGCCACATGTTGCCTTAGAAACCAATTTGTGTTGATTTGAAGCGAATGGGCCGGCTCGACCGGACTGATACCACGGCCTCACAGAAAACCGACGTAAAACAACGCTTGCGTTGTATTTCGTCGTATGAGTGAGGTTACCGGAGGCCCAATTACCCCCTCCCTAGTCCCCGTCTCCCGAATCCCCGAATCCTCCACATCCTCAAATTTCCAATTCCCAAAAGGTCGGTAACGCACTTGTAACGCCTTAGTGTTCCGGGTGTCTACAGGCGGCGCCGATTGCTTACTATCAGGTGATCCGTCTGCTCGTTTACCGGCTTATGCTATAAAATTATATATATATATATATTTATATATACTCATTTGTTAGATGATAGATCTCGAGAACACTAAATATTTGATACTCCTACGATACTACGACTTACGAACTGTGTAGCAACGGTATACAGCGTACAGCAGCGTACTACTACAGCGCAGTTATGGCGTAGCAACAACGTAGCAATGGCGTAGCGACGGTGTAGCAACGGCGTAGTACGTAGGTAACAAAAACAAAAGCCGATGTTGCAACCTTTGTTGAACATATTGCGGGTTCATTAACTCATAAAAAAATAAAATGAACAACATCACGCCTTTTACCCCCGAGTGGTAGGCAGAGGTGCATATTACGGCACTTAATGCCACTGTTAAATGTAACACCCACTTTTCACTATTTATGTTACGAGTCCCATGTAATAGAGCTTATTGCCATATACCGGGCACAATTCCAAACTCCGTGCTACTACTGAGTATTTTTAAAAACCCAGTAATACTTTGCCCGACCCGGGAATCGAACTCGAGACCCCTTCCACTTGCGACCACTCGGCCAACGAGGCAGTCTCATACAAGAATGTGTTGATAGTAAATGCTTTTTTTTCTTTTCAGATTCATTTTCAACCTCATGACATGAAGGACAACAGGCCGAAGACTGATCTACCTCCATCCTTCCTCCAGGAAGACCCAAATGCAGACCTATGGATGAACAACATGTTAGCAAGCGAATACCAACCCTATACCTTAGAAGACATGTTTGAAAATCGTTTGGATTGAATTCTTTCTTGTCATTTATTTGGCAGAGAAAATTGACTGATTATACTCTGATTGTAACGGTTATATTATGTCCTGTTAGGTTATTACGACGTCCTAAACTCAAAATGGTTTCATTGAGTGAATGAAACAGAGCTATACAAGTTGTCTATCGAGATCTCTTTCCCTCAACGGAACCACTCTAGCTTTAAAACGTCATAATACTCCACCTGTATCTTTGACTTATCTGTATATTTAAATAAATAATGCATTTAAAATGATTTATGCTTTTGTTTTTACGTAAGTAAACGATTAAACAGATAATACATCACACTACACGACTTAAGTGTGGGAGAGCTATGCTTCGGCACGAATGGGCCGGCTCGACCGGAGTGATACCACGGCCTCACAAAAGACAGACGTGAAACAACGCTTGCGTTTTGTTTCGTCGTATGAGTGAGGTTACCGGACGCCAAATACCCCTCCCCCTTTCCCAATCCCTGAATCCCTAACGATCTTCAAATTCCTAATCCAGGCCAGTAACGTACTTGTAATGCCTCTGGTGTTCAAGGTGTTCATGGGCGGTGCCGATTGCTTACCATCAGGTGATCCGTCTGCTCATTTACCGGTTTATCCCATAAAATAACACTAATATTATAAATTTGAAAGTTTCTTTGTGTTTGTCCGTCAAACATGCTGAAAATACTAAATGGATTTTGATTAAATTAGGTATACTGTAGGCAGGTGGACTTAGGTGATAGTTTACTTTTATCCCGATTAAGCGACCCCATGGGATAAAATAGGAATACGCGAGCAAAGCCGCGGGTAAAAGTTAGTAATTAAAATATTTTTATTTTAAATAGTTCAATGAGCTGTATTCTACCAATCAAACCCTTACGTTTGATATCCATAGTGACGGTAGTTGTGGGAAAATTAGATTATATTGTATGGTCATCAAGATATTTTTTTATCGTTGCCCCACTCTGGGATTGTTTCCTGTGTCGAGGGTACGTTTACAAACATACAAGTTCACATGCACATGACACCCAGACCTGAAACAACAATTTGTGGATTACACCAAAGAGTTATTCCGTGCGGGATCGAAGCCGCTGCACATTGCGCGGCAGCCGGTTGCCCAGCCACAGCGCTAACCGTGCAGTCAAAGATTAAGAGTGTGTATCAAATATTAGATGTCGTGGTGGCCCGGAGGTTTGACGCCCACTTCTCATGCATGTGGGTGCGAGTTCGAAACCTACCAACAGCAAGTACCAATGTGACTTTTTCCGAGTTACCTATATGTACTTTCTATGATTATTCAGACACCACTGACAAACGGTGAAGGAAAACATCGTAAGGAAACCTAGGCTTATAATTTCTAATTATAAGTTTGAAATCACTAACCCGCATTGAGCGAGCGTGGTGATTAATGCTCAAACCTTCTCCGGGTGATAAGAGGCTTTGCTCAGCAGTGGGCATTTATAGGCTGTTGATGATCAAATATTAGATCCATCTGTCGTCAGGAAGGGGGGGAAAATACAATTACTAAAGACCCAAACAGACAAAAAGGGCAAGCTAAATAAAATCGTTTTGAAGAAGCAATAATCCGTGTGAGTCCTCTGCTGGAATATAGGTCTCCTCTACATAAGATGGTCCACACAATAAAATAGTGTTACCATCCGGTTTTTTAAAACCGTGCTACGAAAATTACTACGGCGTAGCGCCGTAGCAAAATCGTAGTAACTAAATGCTACAATAAATATTATGATTTTTCTTAACAGGGCGCATGTTGGGGATCGCAGTATAAAAGGTTCAGGTTTATCAGAGAGCGCTGTTGCCCGGTCTCTATTAACTCGTCGAGTACCGTCATTATAGACACAATTAAAGAACAATAGGTTGCAGTCACCGGTGAGGTATTCATACGCTGCCATCAGCAGACGACACTATGTGTATTACCAGACGACATTACACACTTAAAAAAAATTATACACTTACATATCCATGTCTTCCAATCCACTTATTTGGGCATTTAGTGTCCAGCCACTTTCTGACACTTTTCCTTAAGGGTGCGGGGCAACTGTCGTGTTAAAATCACATGTCATGAATGAGGTTTAATTGTGTATCATCGGGCAAATCAAAATCCCCAAAGGATCAGTAAGCTGAAGTGGCAGTGGGCCGGTCACATTTGTCGAAGAACCGATAACCGCTGGGGTAAACGTGTTCTAGAGTGGAGACCGCGTCTAGGCAAACGCAGTGTAGGGCGCCCTCCAGGTAGGTGGAGTGACGATATACGTAAAGTGGCTGGCAGTGGTTGGATGACAAGAGCTGAAGACCGAGCTCAGTGGCGTGCCATTGGAGAGGCCTATGTCCAGCAGTGGACGAATACGGGCTGATGATGATGATGGGCAAATCAGATAGTTCGTTGTTCGTTTCTGCGTCTTTGTTTTAAGCTTATAAACACATTAAACGCCGTGGTGGTCTCCGGTTACCAACGTTAGCGGAGGATTTGCCTTTACAGTTTTTCATTGGCAGTCAAAGCCTTAAGATATATTTTTGTAATTTGCTCCTTTTATCATTTATAACGATTATTTATTTAATAATAAAGATTATTTGTTTATATGTATATATGCGATTGAATGGTTGGCAGGCCACAATTGTGCGCTTCTCACGATGCTTTCTGCCTCGCACAGCAAACTACGGAATGATCTGTCGTCGGCGGTATTTCCGAACCGATACGACCTTCAAACCTTCAAGAAAAGAGCGTATTCCTTTTTAAAAGGCCGACAACGCACCTGTGACTCTTCTGGTGTTCCAGGTGTCCATGGGCGGCGCTGATCGCTTACCATCAGGTGATCCGTATGCTCGTTTGGTTCTATTCCATAAAGAAATTGAATTTTAACAGGAAGTCGCTGCATGCATGTCGCTTCCAACCTCGCCATGTGTGGTCATTGGGGGGAGGACTGTGGGGGCAGTGGACTGTACGTGGCTGTACGTATGATGATAACAATTTTCATGCAAGTCGCCCGCTTCTTATGCATGAAGGTGCGGGCTGGAAAACTACCAAAACGGCATTTTGCAAATAAATGATTTTATTTTATTTGATTTGAACGGCAAGTACCAATGTGACTCGGAGTCGCGGAGAACCTAACGGGTTACCGGGGCTCCGGCTCGAAGTGCAGGAGTAGGAACGGGGTGGTTTTTAGTCAGTAAGAGTCTAACACTTCCTCTCGCCTCACCTAGGCGGAAGAAGTCATTCGATGATTTTCCCCACTTAAAAAAAAGTACCACTGTGACATTTTCCGAGTTATATGTACTTTCTAAGATCATTTAGACACCACTGACAAACGGCGAAGGAAAACATTGTGATGAAACCTGGGCTTATAATTTCTAACTATAAGTCTGAAATCGCCAACCCGCATTGAGCAAGCGTGGCGATTAATGTTCAAACCTTCTCCGTGTGAGAGAGCCTTAGGTCAGAAGTGGCCACTTATAGGCTGTTGATGATAATGATAATTTTGGTATGAGGACAATAAAAAAACAAAATTAATTTTCATCACGGATATTTTAATACCCTTCTCTAGTTTATTACAATCAAAAACTAACAATTATTTAATTATTATTGTTAATTATTATTTAATTCATTTATTACTAAGTCACCTCCTAGTTGTAAACTTAACTTAAAACATTAATTTAAAACGAAAACTTTAATACATTTTGTAGCAATTTTGGAAAACAAATGTTAAAGACTTCAAAAATTATAAAAGCTCTGCATTGGATTTGAACCCGCTACCATCAGTTGACTGGACAATCTCTACAGCAAGTACCAATGTCATTATTACTTAATTAGCATTTTTACAATTTTCGAAGTCTTTAGTACTTTTATTGAAAGTGTTAAATCTCGACTACAGTGGTCGTCTAATTTTTATCTTCATTCCGATACGATTTTCAAAATAGTTTCAAATAAGGTTATTTGTTTAAAATTTCCAATCCCAAATACTTCTAAACAATTCAGCGAAATATATTGATGACAACAATTAAATAATGTAGGCTTTTTCATTGTTGTTTAAATCTTAATACATGAAGAATTATTTTCGGAAAAATATTAACAAAAATGATTAATTTCATGTACATAAAAACTATATAAATCAACAATCAGTTTCTACTCAACCACCAACAAAAACTACCAAAAACAGAAACAATTTTCTCAACTGGCAACCCCAAACCAAACCATAGTCGAGTAAACGGGAATGTATAACGATTATTTTTAAATTAGTAATCGATTTGAAACGCTACGGTATCGATATTTCGTTGTAATCGATTTAATATGATTCTTTTTGTTTTCGTCGTGCGATTTCGGCGCTGGCTTCTTGGATTGCTTCCCAGAGCTTGGCTTCGGACAGAATTTGCCTGGATAGTTCTTCAATGGCGGTTTCTGAGTCGAGTAGAGAGCCGAGGGTCTCGTCATCCATGTACTGAAAAAACGAATTCAATTAAATACATGAAACTTACCTAAAAAATATAAGTTAATCACGTTAATATACTGAGAAAATCTCTACTAGTTTTGAGTCACAGAGGGACTTTTCCTCATGAACAGCGTGCGCAGGCGCGGCGATGTCGTGCAGTCTTCTCGCCTATCGCCTTACTCGAAACTAGTAGAGCTTTTCTCGTATATTTACGTGGATTAAGTCGTAAGTTTAAGTTAATTCAGCACGTCTCACGATAGTACTTATAAAAATATATGAATCAGTAGATTGTCTCATTGGTTGACTGATTTTTAGTGATACTGCCGAGATTGGGAAGTTAATGGTTCGTGTGTTGTTCAGACTATCAAGAATATCTAGGTCGACTATAAAGTCGATAGATAGAACAGCGCGACAGTCGCCGCGTCGCGGGTCGCGAAATGCTGCTCATGAATATGAGCCTCTAGCATGGCTTGAAACTAGTCGAGTACCTCGTCAAATTACTACGTGAGTAAGCCGAAAACATAATAATTTATTTAGTATGTCTCACGAAAGTTACAATACAAGTTGATAGATGTAGTTGCAGTTTAGTAGACTACCGCGTTGGCCGAGTGGTTGCAAGTACACCTGTCGGGCAAGGGATCTCGGCCCGATTCCCGTGTCGGGCAAAGTATTACTGGATTTTTTAAATTATCCTTAGCAGAAGCGCGGAGCTTGAAATTGTGCCCGGTATATAACAATAGACTCACCCCCTATTACATGGGACTCATAACATAAATAGTGAAAAGTGGATGTTACATTGTACAGTGGCATTAAATGCCGTAATGTGCACCTCTGCCTACCCCTTGTAATGATAATATATAGTATAGTTTTCAGCTTTCAGAATTTCGTATATGCAATTATATGCAAGGAGTCCGAAATAGTGTAATTCAAAATTAAATATTAGTTTATGACAATAGTCTCATACCTAAATTACTATGTGACTAAGAAACTAATCACTACATAGTATAATACAAAGTCGCTATCCGCCGTCTGTCTGTCCCTATGTATGCTTAGATCTTTAAAAGTACGCAACGGATTTTGATACGGTATTTTTTAATAGGTAGAGTGAATCTTAAGGAAGGGTTATATGTATAACTAGCTGTTGCCCGCGACTTCGTCCGCGTAGATTAATGACTTCTGACAGAATTAACCAGAATCAATTCAGTGCCAAGTAAGATTTACCTATTTTGAAATGATTTATCGTAGTTTCAATAAATATAATCCCGCAGGGATCTTACCAGTACAGTGCCCGATCACGTAAGGTTTGAGTAATAAAAACTATTCTATCGACTATTGTTGTACCGAATCTCTCTAAATAAGTTCAGTGGTTAAGAGTTAGAGAGTCCTGGGGCATTGACGCATAGTTCCCGTTTCGTGAGACATCTGTAAAAAACTATCATACGTTACCCAGGTCCCAAATCATCGTTTTACCGAATTAATTCAAAAAGATCAATGTTCTAAATTCAATGGCTAAGAAGATTTATACAAACTCTCATTCCCTATTTTATCCCCTTAGGGGTGGAATTTATCAAAATCCTTTCTAAGAGATACCTATGTCATAGTAACTTTATGCATGCAAAGTCTCAGCCCGATCAATTAAAACTGGCAAAGTATCATACAAACTTTCACCCCCTATTTTACCCACTTTGGGGTGAGAATGTTCAAAAACCTTTCTAAAGGGACGTTTACGTCATAATATCCATCTGCACGCCGAATTTCAACCCGATCGGTGTAAAACTGACAAAGCTTCATACAAACGTTCATCCCCTACATTACCCCATTGGAGGTGGAAATAATCAAAATCCTTACTTGGGGATGCCTACGTCATAACATCTACTGCATGTCGAATTTCATCTGCATCGGTTAAAACTGACAAAGTCATATAAACTTTCACCCCCTATTTTACCCCTTAGGGGTGGAAATATCAAAATCCTTTCTTAGCGGATGCTATGTGATAACATCTATCTGCATGTCAAATTTCAATTCGATCGTTTAAAACTGACAAAGCTCATACAAACTTTCATCCCCTATTTTACCCCTTGGGGGTGGAAATTATCAAAATCCTTTCACAGCGGATGCCTACGTCATAACATCTATCTGCATGCCAAATTTCAACCCGATCGTTTAAAACTGACAATGTCTCATACAAACTTTCATCCCCTATTTTACCCCTTGGGTGGAAATTATCAAAATCCTTTCAAGCGGATGCTTACGTCATAACATCTATCTGCATGCCAAATTTCAACCCGATCGGTTTAAAACTGACAAAGTGCATATAAACTTTCATCCCCTATTTTACCCCCTTGGGGGTGGAAATTATCAAAATCCTTTCAGCGGATGCCTACGTATAACATCTATCTGCATGTCAAATTTCAATTCGATCGATTTAAAACTAACAAAATCTCATCAAACTTTCATCCCTATTTTACCCCCTTGGGGGTGGAAATTATCAAAATCCTTTCACAGCTGATGCTTACGTCATAACATCTATCTGCATGCCAAATTACAACCCGATCGGTTTAAAACTGACAAAGTCTCATACAAACTTTCATCCCCTATTTTACCCCTTGGGGGTGGAAATTATCAAATCCTTTCACAGTGGATGCTTACGTCATAACATCTATCTGCTTGCCAAATTACAACCCGATCGCTTTAAAACTGACAAAGTCTCATACAAACTTTCATCCCCTATTTTACCCCCTTGGGGGTGGAAATTATCAAAATCCTTTCACAGTGGATGCTTACGTCATAACATCTATCTATGTGCCAAATTTCAATCCGATCAGTTAAAAACTGACAAAGTTTCATACAAACTTTCATCCCCTTTTTTACCCCCTTGGGGGTGGAAATTATCAAAATCCTTTCTTAGCGGATGCCTACGTCATAACATCTATCTGTATGCCAAATTTTAGCCCAATCTGTCCAGCGGTTTGGGCTGTGCGTTGATAGATCACTATGTCAGTCAGTCAGTCAGTCAATCACCTTTGAATTTTATATATATAGATACATGCATATTGCACCCGTGCGAAGCCGGGGCGGGTCACTAGTGAGAAATGTATTAAAAGGCTTTATGTTCACAATTCTATCTGCAATGCTAAGAGCAGATAAGAAAATGCACTTAAAACTGACCGTTTTAATTATTGCTAACCATAAAGCGGGATCGTTAACTGAATTAAATAAAACTAATCAACATTATGATGAAATAAATTAAACTTTTAAAATACACAGCTTAAATTTTAATACACTACAGACAAGTGTGGGAGAGCTATGCTTCGGCACGAATGTGCCGGGTCGACCGGAGTGATACCACGGCCGAGCAGAAAACCGACATGAAACAACGCTTGCGTTGTGTTTCATCGTATTCGTATGAGTGAGGTTACTGGAGGCCCAATTACCCCCCTCCCCAGTCTTCCCAGTCCCCGAATCCTCTACAATCAGACAGAACCATTTTACTTCGGGACTTAAATGAAATAGGTTTCACGGTTTATATGACGATAGATTCACCCTTTTTTGCATGGGACTCATAACGCAACCGGGCAACAGTGGGTTGACAGACAGTATGTTCACCACTGTCTACCTCTTTGAGGATGAATGATGACGTAGGTTAAATGATGCTCACCTGTTTCTGCCTCATCAGTTCTTGAGCAGGCATGCCGGGAGCCTGTTGGGACCTCTTGCGACCACAGCCTGGAATTAAACAAGAATTAATGGATAATTAAACAGAGAAATAAAATAATGTTTTACCCCATCTAAAGCTTTTTACTGAAACTGAAAATCTAGGAATCACACTGGAGCCAAAACCGCTCATAGGAAAAATCTGAAATTTTAAGCGTGCGGTCTTTGTATGACGTAGGGGTAACCTATAAAGGGGTCAAAAGTGGGGTCAAAGTTCATATGGAAGAACTTGATTCCTTGGTCCGATATATTTCAAATTTCGCATGAACATTCTGCAATAGAATCAGAAGAACTCATTCATTTTTTTTGAAAATTCAATGTCTAATTGGGCGCAAAAAGGGGTAGAAAGATTTTAAATGTTGTAAATAGGCAATAAATCCTCCTTAGTATCTCCTTGGTGTCAAATTCCATTAAAAAAATGTTATGTTCTAAAATTTGAAAATTCGAAATGTGAAAATAACGATCATAAGTATTTATTTACTTTTTTTTAGTGAGGTGGAACAGTGGTAATACGGTAGATGACAGGTAATCAAATTCAATAATTTTATTGAAATGTCAAAAACGATATTTTTCCACGAATTTTGTATTGAATCGCACCTTATGACGTCATCATATTTCTGCGTCAAATTGCATACTTATTTCCTTAAAATTAACGAGAAAAAATCCAAAAGTAGGTATTGTCAAATCAATGATGATGAGAGTATGATAATTTTTTAATTATTTATTGCATTGTAATATTGAAACAATTGGTTTTAAAACTAGGAAACTAGACAATTAAACTCCTGATTTAATTTGCAGCGTATGTTAGGAGAAGATGACCAGAAAATTAAGAAGAAGACTCTCTTATTGTTAGATTGCTATGATGATTGTCAAATAGATTGACGAGTCCCATGAATTAGGGATGAACCTATTGCCATCTATTAAACGCATTTCCAGACAACGTACAACAACTGAGAATTTTTTAAAAACCCAGTACTTTGCGCGACCCAGGAATCGAAGCCGAGACCCCTTGCTAGGCAGCCGCACTTGCAACCACTCGGCCAACGAGGCAGCTGTTACTGATATTAGTATAAACAATTCTTACCAGTGAAAGCATTGCAGAAGGGTCTCTTCTTGGGTGTCATTAGCATCTCCTCGGACAGGCGACCTTCGTAGTTCCTGGGGATCTAGAAATGTAAGCGAAACTTTATACCTGAATACTGAAGACTAGACTTTTGTCTATTGTATTTTTTATTTACGGGATAAGCTTGTAAACGAGGAAAATTGTAAATGATTAGGAAGTTGGGATTCAGGGATTGGGGAGATTGGGGGGGTAGGCCTCCGGTAATCTCACTTACCATGTTTGGGCACTGCTGGGTCGGCTCGACGGGAGTAATACCTCGGCCTCACAGAAAACCGATATAAAACAACACTTTGGTTGTGTTTAGTCGTGTGATTGAGGTTACCGGAGGCCCAATTTCTGAATCTGAATCCCCAACAATCCTCAAACTCCTAATCCTCAAAAGGCCGGTAACGCTCTTGTAACACCTCTGGTGTGTCAGGTGTCCATGGGCGACGCCGATTGCTTACCATCAGGTGATCCGTCTGCTCGTTTACCGGCTTATCCCTTAAAAAAATCTCATACAGCTTAAATATGAACTGAAAAAATAAAATAAAATGACTAACCGAGGCTGTATGGCAGCATTCCATGTACAGCAGCGCCACCACGACGAACAACGAAACGCGTGACACGGACATGGCGGGAAAATTTGACAGCTTTTGCGCAAAATGGACGACCTGTTGACAATGATAATGAAAATTTAAATAATTTAAATAATGTTCACCAATAGTTTACACGCGTGTATTAAATGTTCGAGCATGATTGATGATGATGACAAAAAGAAGAGCCTAAATAAAAGTATCCTTACGCCTAAGTGGCTAATGTCTCACGACATGTATCGGTGACATCTCAAGAGAAGTTCGCCAATTTCGCCTGACATAATTATAAAGCGACAACGCACGCCTTATGTTCACAGCGAAGTTGATGTTGCCAAACACGTCGACAATAGTCCGGCAACATCGTGCTACTCCACCCACACAGGGGCGGGAGGAAACGCTCGGGTGTCATCACGGCGAGGACCTCCCTGAGGACACGGTGGAACACAATGTAGCTGAATGCCCTGTATGGGCTGAGTACTGCCGTGCCTTCAGGGACGTGATCGGCGATGGCGACCTCTCGCGTCAGGCCCTAGTCCGGGTCATGACGCGGAGCGAGGGGGACTGGGATGCCGTCTCCTCCTTTTGTGAAGCAGTCATGCTAGCTAAGGTTATATTTTAAAAATGTTCTTGTTATTCCTGGCGTGCATGTCTTATGCCAAATAAATATATACTTCTTTCATTCTTTCTTTCTTTCTAAGGAGGGAAAATCATCGAATGACTGCTCCCGCCTGGGTGAGGCGGGAGGGAGTGTCAGACTCTTACTGACTAAAAACCACCCCGTTCCTTCTCCTGCACGTCGAGTCGGAGCCGCGGTAACCCGTTAGGTTCTCCGCGACAGGTTAGGTATGTAAGTATGATTGAATGAGGCCCAATGTGATTTGAGACTAATTGGTCAATGTCGAAATTTCCGAATTGTAACTGGGAATCTTATTTTAGATGATGCATTTATCATCACACTTGACTACCGGAGCAATCATGTATCCAAATGATAAACCTTCCTAATATACAGTGAACAAAAAAATTTGTACCTAGATAACAAATAACGATTGATTCAGTAAAGAGTAAAGAGAGCAATCATTGATAGTCTAGAGCTGACCAATCGTCTAGTTTCTTAGGTTTAAAATAAATTGTTTCAACTTTTCAATGCAAAAAATAATTAAAAAACAATCATACTCTCATCCATTGATTTGACAATTAACTACTTTTGGATTTTTTCTCGCTAATTTTAAGGAAATAAGTATGCTATTTGACGCAGAAATATGATGACGTCATAAGTTGCGATCCAATACAAATTTCATAGAAAAGTATCGTTTTTGACATTTCAATAAAAGTATTGAATTTGACTACCTGTCAACTACCGTATTGTGTATAGAAATGTAGCTTCGTTACAAAGCAAACAATTAAGTATAACAATCACCAGTAGGTTTGCCTCTTCTCACACGGAGAAGACTTGAGCATTAATCACCACGCTAGCTCAATGCGGGTTGGCGATTACAAACTAATAATTACAAATTATAAGCCCAGATTTCCTCACCATGTTTTCCTTTTCCTTCACCGTTTGTCAGTGGTGTCTAAACAATCTTAGAAAGTACATATAACTGGGAACAAGTCACATTGGTACTTGACAGGCGTGGAAACCGCTCCCTCATTAATAAGAAGCTCCCTCTATAACCTCCGGACCTTTTCCTATACTTAAGTTAACAAGAGTCGAAAAACTAAAGTAACAAAAGTCGACTGGAGTAAGTTGTAATCAATTTCCCTTATTGACAAACGAACTCAGAAACAAGTTAACGACTCATATAAATATATAATTGTAGTAACTCATTTACTTTTAACTGTTGATGAAGTTAGTTGAGTTAGTGAGTTCGTTTATTAATTAAGTTTCGTTAAAGAATAGAAGCTTGACCTGGGCTATTTTTGTTGTCGGTTTTTTAAGTGTAATTGCTGCCTTGTTAGTTAGCTTTGAGTGGATACGGTTAAGAGGTTCTGGGGTTGGGTAAAACATTGTGTTTTTTTACGATAAATACGGTAAATTATTATGTTTTCGGCTTTCGCGTCCTGCGACGCGGCGACTGTCGCGAAATGCTGCTCATGAATATGAGCCTCTAACATGGCTTGAAACTAGTCGAGTTCCTCGTCAAATTATTACGTGAGTAAGCCGAAAACATCATAATTTATTTAGTATGTCTTGCGAAAGTTATAAGACATTTATCTAAACGTGAAAAACGTTATTGTTTTATGAATTTTATACGAAAAAATTTACTTATGACGTCGTCATATTTTTGAGTCAAATAGCATACTTATTTCTGAAAAAAAAATATAGAAAAAATGAAGTTTATCGTAAATGAAAGTGTAATTATTTTTCAATATTTCATTCGATTAAAATATAAAAAAAATATATTTTTGAACCAGGAAACTACCCAACCCAACATCACGTCTTTTATCCCCGAAGAGATAGCCAGAGGTACACACAGAGACTATAAGACACACTTTTCACTATTTATGTTCTAAGTCCCATGTAATAGGGGGTGAGCCTATTGCGATATACCGGACACATTTCCAGATTCCATGCTACTACTGAGAATTTTTTAAAAGCGCACTAATACTTTGCCTGACCCGGGTATCGAAACCAAGACCCCTTACCCGGCAGTCGCTTGCGACCACTCGGCCAACGAGGCAGCACTTAAATAAGTATGTACTAAGTTAAAAATAAAAAGTATTTTATACACAGAACTTGCTTTAAAGTTTAAACTTCCCGCTGTGAGATCACGGTACACGCTGCGATCGACTGTGTTTAACTTAGACATGTTCCATTTAAGAGTTCACTCACATTATAAAACTTACTTTTAATACCCGTTAAGCTTACTTAACATTTTTTATTTATTTTGCAGCCATCTTCACTACATAGTATGAAACAAAGTCGCTATCGGTCGTCTGTCTATCCCTATGTTTTTTTTATGATATAAGCCTGTAAACAAGCAGACGGATCACCTGATTTAAAGCAATCGGAGTCGCCCATGGACACCTGGAACACCAGAGGTTTTACAAGTGCGTTACCGGCCATTTGGGGATTAGGAGTTTGAGGATCGTTGGATTCAGGGATTGGGGAGATTGGGGAAGGGGAGAGTAATTGGGCCTCCGGTAACCTCACTGACACGACGAAACATTAACCAAGTGTTGCTTCACGTCGGTTTTCTGTGAGGCCGTGGTATCACTCCGGTCGAGCCGGCCCATTCGTGACGAAGCATGGCTCTCCCACACTTAATGTATGCTTAGATCTTTAAAACTACGCAACAGATTTTGATGCGGTTTTTTTTTATAGACCAAGTGATTCTTAAGATAGCATAAAACAAAGTCGCTATCCGTCGTCTGTCTGTCCCTATGTATGCTTAGATCTTTAAAACTACGCAACAGATTTTGATGCGGTTTTTTTAATAGATAGAGTCAAGAGTGATTCTTAAGGAAGGTTTATATGTATAATACATGCATGTTGCGCCCGTGCGAAGCCGGGGCAGGTCGCCAATGATATAAAAAGTAGTGGATAAGAGTAGTACCTATTTAAGTAAAAGTTCATTAAATATATTTAGGAAATTATGGGTCTGGCATGGTATTTGTGTGACCTAAATACCCTAAATTATATGACATAACATCATGCCTTTTATCCCCGAAAGGGTAGGCAGAGGTGCACATTACGGCAATTAATGCCACTGTGAAATGTAACACCTACTTTTCACTATTTATATTATGAGTCCCATGTAACCATATACCGGGCACAATTCCAGACTCCATACTACTAGGAATTTTTTCAAAATAAAACCTTTACCCGACCCGGGAATCCAACCCGAATTGGCCAACGAGGCAGTCAGGCAAGCAGACAGGAAATTAATTCTCTTAACAATATGGTTATTCCGCCGAAATAATAATAGCTACGTAATAATAATGCAATCATCATTTATTATTGTATTATTACGCCCGAAATAGAGGCGTGGGTGTGTGCAATAAGGGCAGTAATACTATTACTACTTTACTATAACAGTTCTCGTAATGAAAGAGCATAGGCCGACAATGTGCGGACACACCCATTTTTATTTCATACTACCTTCTCCCCGCGATTTCGTACGCGCAATCTAGTTTTCTCCAGTTCCCCTAGGATTATCAGGTTTTTTTTCTGTCTTAAAAACCTTCTCCTAATAATAACAAATACAACAAAAAAAGAATTAGTGAAATCGGTCCAGCCATTCACGCGTGATGCCATGACCAAGGGAAATAGGGTGAAAACCGACGTGAAGCAACGACTGCGTTGTGTTTCCCCGTGTGAGTGAGGTTACCGGAGGCTCAATTAACCCCATACCCTTCCTCAATCTCGCAAACTCTAAATCCCCAACAATCTTTAAACTCCTTATCCCCAAAAGGCCGGTAACGCCCTTGTAACGCCTCTGGTGTTCAAGGTGTCCATCGGCGACGCCAATTGCTTGCCATCAGGTGATCCGTGTGCTCGTTTACCGCCTTATCCCATAAAAAACCAACCAACCAGAATGCTGACCGCGGTCTTGTTTCGATTGCTTTGATTTATTTATTTATTTATACTTTATTGCATCGTTTAGTGATCCGTCTGCTCGTTTACCGGCTACCACCATTTTTG